CTTCCTCCTCCGCATCAACCACAGCCGAAGTGATGCAATCGCAAACGTCCACAACGGAAATCGGTATTCACACTGTCTTCTTACCCCTGTTTGTCTTCATTTAGCCAAAGACTGAAAATGTAGACGGACGGGTAAAACGAATGATGTGTGTCAATTAAGCCAGCAGCATATTGTATTACGAGACCAGTGGGAAGAAGAGGCAGGGGGATGGAATGCGTTGATGACGCAATGCTTCCGCTAGAAGACCGTTTTGTGTCTGCTTTGCCACTGTTCTCAACTTGGCAGAAATTGCCACTATCTTTTCATGTCACCTGGCCAGTTCATTCAAATTGAGCATGCTACCTGCCGTCAAATTAACACTGCAAGACACATCTGGCCACCACAATTGCTTCCTTCTAATCTCCTCGTCATGTGGACCAGCCCATATTCCAGTAAAAGCCCTCTTGTCCATTTCAGGTCAGCCCGACGACGACCAGGAGACCTCATCCCCCTCATCAACCACAGCCGACATGATGCAATCGCAAACACCCACAACGGAAATCGGTATTGCCATTTACTCTTTACTACTGTTCGCCTAACTTTCCTCAAAGGCCCGCAAAATAAGCCTATAGATGATGAATGTCATCGGAGCGAGCATATGACTGCATAAGGAGACAACTCCACATTATTTAATTTTTTAGTAAGCAGAAGAACCGAAGTAAAGCTCAAGGAATATATGTCCACATGGAGTAAAGAACTTGAGCTAATTCGAGGAGAACCTTGACATGCCATGCCTTCTAGTGCTAAATGCTTTCACACAGTAGAAGCAAATACGTTCACATGTTGATGCTGATCAGGACTGATTTTATGAGCCTAACAGCATAATCCAGCAACAGCCCCCATCCAAATCAAGCATTTCAACGTCATTCATTTCTGTTAGCCGCAGTTGTGGTCCTTACCGTGCCCGCCATTTCAGAATCACTCTTAGACCACCTGTTGGCCGCTCCACACACAAACACAAAGACTGGGCTGACTGCGAGTTCCAAGTTATACCGTCAGTCGACAACAGTCCAAGCCACGGCTTTTAGCACACCGTGATAGATTCACATGCGTGAGTGTGGCATATGTGACGTTAAGAAGGAGCCTGTAGTGGTCAAGGACGTGAGATCAACTTAAACCACATACAATAATTTTGCTCCGTCTAGTGACAGAAGCCAGAAAGTTGTGAGAACGGGTTTATGCTGTACAGAGGGCAGGTGGCCGTAAGTTGGCTGTATGCTTGTGGCAGAGATAAGCGTTCGTTCTGGAGAGCGTCAGTTGCGGAGCCTTCAGTGTGTCGTTACGACCAAAAAAGTGTTGTGTGTCCTTCTTGCCTATGTCCTGTCTGTTCAAACTCACGTCCGCAAGGACGGCGTCCCGTGTGTGTACTTGTAACCAATCAGCGATAGAAAGTTTCGGGGATTGGCTCCGAGTCCACGCGAAGGTAGTGGCAAATTATCGACTAAGAGTGTGGCGTGTACGGGAGTGCAAATCGAGAGTTAGCGGGTGCAGTCGTGGTGCGTAAACAGTAGAAAGAGGGGACAGAGAAAAGGCTGTTACAAGGTGTTTCAGCCTGACTATCAAACCACCAGTCCGCACTCAACAAATGTACTCACAACTGGGCAGTCTACGTGCACTGACTTGGGGAAACAGCCAGCATCCTTACAAGCCACGCCTCCTGATGCGTAGTTAGAACGTGAGGAATGTGTGAGTAGTAGTCTGAACGGGAGCCGGCGCAGCGGACGTTGAGGCGATGG